TATCAAGAACTTTTTTTAAAAATTACAACTATGATAAATATATTTTTTTGATTACAGTGTTGAAATTTCTGTAAATGATCCAACCTTCGAGATGCTCTCCCTCAGACTGGGAGACCGCTGCCTGCGGGTGGTGGTGGTAGCCATGGTGGTGGTGGTCTCCATGATTGTAGTGGACATATCGGACACAGCCAACGGCGTAGCGGAGGTGGTGTCGGTGGTCAGAGCAGACAACGAGTCCCCGACKAGGCGCAGGTTCCCCTCTACCTGAATGCTGGGGTCATTTTCTGCTGCCAGTTTGAGCACCTGAAGGCCGTTGTAGTACAGCCCTGAAATCTGACCCTGGAAGGGCCGACCCTTGTCATAACCGCCAATTTTAATGGCTGCCTGGCTGTTAAAGATGGTCAACTGTCTCCCTAAGGTTACATAGAGACATAGAGAAAAAAACAAAACAAAACAAAGAAGTGGTAAAATAGGCATGGAGAAGTCAAATGGTAGCTTGGTTTTACTGGAAGATCATCTAAATTAGGCCGGTTTTAGCAATTCCAGACATTAAAAGTATTTTAGGTCGTTTTTAAAGTTCTTTTTAGACGTCAGCTTTACAAAATAAAAAAAAATCATTGGCTAAACAAACGAGGTTAGAAATTTGACTTTACACTTGCCCATTMAAGGCTGAAAGCCTATTTAGGTACCTATTTATCACTAAACAAGTTAGAAAATTGTGGCTTAAAAATAGCAAATGTCTTTATTATTCTTTTGGTTTTAGAATTAGAAAATAATTTTATTATATTTTGGACTGTGTGAAGTCAAATAACACTCCAAACACCACCAATGACACAGCATCACTGTCAGCAGCCTCACTGTAAAATTTCAGACTTCAGGAGAAGGATGCACTTTTTAGTGCTTTATTAACTTAGCTTATTTGCTAAGTGACTGACGCTAATAACATCATTTATTAGCAAGTAGCTTATTCACTAGTTAGCAAACTACCATAAAAATATGTTATTTGCTAATTGGCAAAAACCTAAGTAATATAACTACTTGCTGTTTAGTGACATAGCTCAGTTTGCTGATTAGCAAAAAAAAAAACCTATTATATAAAGCTTTACTGTTGATGTAAGCGCCCTGTTACACTATGACGTTTTAGACAACTTATGCAACATCTGCAAATTTTGTTTAACAAGCTGGGACACGCTGGGGAAGAGAACAAAAAGCATCTATGAGAACCTTCTTTTGGATGTGATCATACCGTGTTGCTAACGTCTTGAACAGACATAAAACCTACGAGTAAATTATCCCTCCCTTAAACATAACGTGTACGCTTATTATAACGTGTTAGCAGAGAGAAAAACGAAGCTGACAGATGTTTTTTTATCCAGCTGTCAGAAAAGACGATCCACAGAAATATTTTCCACCTGAGAGGATGACGTGGGCGCAGGAGACAAATCTGATGACTTTTAAAACAGAGACCTGAGCCGCTGCAGCAACATTGATCAACAACGTGTTGCATGTGATCTGGCACAAGTGGGGCGGTTATTGTGCCCCAATTTGATCAGCCACCGCGAACCGCAGCCACCGCAGAGCACCTAAAGCCCGCAGCCTGAAGCCCAACAGATCACTGTGTGCAGCTCGGGGAGCGGCTCCGCTCATCTGCACATTTCGCTGCCACTCACTGATCTTGCTTTACTTTTGGGAATTAAACAATATTAACAGAAAAATCCATAGCATACCTGTAACTTGTGCCTCACTTATCAGCACCATTTTGGCATAAGGTGCAAATTTTGAGCATGTCCAAAATTAGTGTCCGGCCATCATTCTCGTAACATATTCACAACTTACACCTAACTTGTACAGCTTACAGCAACATGTTGGACAAAATTTGCATAAGCTGTCTAAAACGTCATAGTGTGACATGGCCTTTATCTTGTTAGATAGCTGTTAGCCGACTATGAGCTGTCAAAACCTAATATAGTTGAAAGATAATTGGTCTGGTAATGGTTTTCAAAGTTATTAAAAAATCAAAATCCGCTAATCAAAATATTAGTTCTACTATTAGCTGATTAGCAGAACCATGCCCACTAATAAGCTAATATACTAATAAGTAGTTTGCCAATTAGATAAAAAGACATCAAGCAAATAAATTAGCTTGTAAGCAAATAACTCATTCACTAATTAGCAATATAGCCAAGTTAATTGCTAATTAGCAAAAGATTAAGCTACAAATATTTGCTATTTATAGAAATAGAAAGTTACTTGCTTCTTAGTCCAGTAAACAAGTACAGTAAATAAGCTCAACTGTGTAAGTTTTAGCAATTTCTTTAGCAAAATATTCAATAGCTTATTCACTATTTTGCCAAAAGCTAAATAGTGGAAAGCTATGAGTAAGAAACAAATTGCACATAACTTCTTTTCAAATAAGCAAAGTCGTAGTTAGCCTTTTCACTACTCAGTGAGTTGGCTAACTGTTACGTTAGTTTTTTTTGTAACAAATAAATGATGGCTGCAAACAGTGAAGAACTGTTTATGTTTGCTGTGGCTTTTTTTTTTGTTACAGTAAAACATTTAGTGTGGGAATCTGGATTGACTGCAGTACAACAAGAAAAAATACAAAAAAAGAAGAATTTCCCTGGTCACATCACATGAAATTGTTAGAATTTAAATGGTTTAAATGTTTTGAAAAAGATACTATCAACAGGTTAGTTTAGAGTTATTAAAAACGTTAGACAGCATTTTAAAGGTTTTATATCGAATAATTACACACAATATCTATTTACACACAGTGGTTAAGAAGGGAGGTCAGACAAGGGTTATGATCTTTTTAATTTTATTTTAAAATCTGAAAGGTGCAGCATCTTCACAAGGTGGAAGGATGACAAAATGAATAGGACTATTATACCCCTTTGCTTAACACTTAATTTCTATTACAGCTGAAGTGTGGCCATTAAAATTCACAGCCAAGCCAAGTTCCAATTCACGTGGAAAATCTGTATCAAGCTAGCTTGACCCGTGTCACACTTGTGTTCTGGCACTGCACCTCTTCTGGGGAGGGTTATTTTCTAGTTATTTCAAGATTTATTTAACTAATCAATTAATTTTTTACCTTTATCGAGTATCCACTCGTCAACTACCCGACCAAGTCTGTATGGGATTCTTTGCCTGGCAATAGCCAGTCGTTCATTATCATAGTGTCCTTCAAAGAATTTGGAGAGACAGATTAAAGGTTAAAGTCTGCAAGCTGAAAAATCACAAGGTTAAAAACAAGGTTATGAGGGCTAACAGGATTAACAAGTTAGCATTTTTCATCCAACTATGAGTTAAGATACACTCGTGCTTTACTTAAAGTTATCTAGTTATTATGGGTAACAGTTAGAATAATGTTTAGGCTATTTATGATTTCCTACACTAGTTAGTGTTGTTTAGCTTTTAAGTTAGAGTAATCATCAGCAAATATCAATAACAGACATCATTTTCTGTAAAAAGTGGTTAATTTCAGTAGACACACACAAAAAAAAAAAACCCACAAGAAAACTCAATTACTTGAGCAAAGACAATCAGGAAAAACATTACACTTATAAAGCAGAAACAAAACTGACCCAGTCTACTTCTACATAAAGCAAAACAACAGAAAAACACATTTACACAGCATACACAATTACGCAAGTTGTAAACTCAGATAAATTTTACTGTTTAATGACAATGTTCTGCAGGTGTGCATAGTTATTAGGCTTTAGGTATGTCAGTGTTAAAATATTAAGAAATGCAACCAAGCTTCCCAGTGTACTGATTATAAAATATAAAGTAAATATACAAGAGACGTAACAATTAATCATAATTAATCCTTAGAAGGTTAAAAATAAGCTAAACATTTATTTTTGTTTGTTTTATTTTAAATGTATTTATTTCTGTGTTGTCGATAAACAACTATTCGTTAAAAGGTCTAAAATGTCTTCAAATCTTTTATTTTTTTTTGTCGGAAATTATTTCAGACTTTCGTAAACTCCCAGTAACGCTACTACCCCCTAGTGCCCCATTAGGGAAAATTCGACCATATCGAAATCCATTATGAYTGCATTTTATGATCCATAATTATCATATAAAATAACAAATTTATTTAATTTATGTTTCTTTTTTATCTCTATACCCCTAATTTCAATTTCTATATTTGCACAATAGGTGGTGCTCCACTTTGACCAAGGAGGGAAGCTTTAAAACCACCGACCAGCCTCCTGCAGTTTACCTGGAAAAGGGATGTCCAAGTTGCTCTCAAATCTGGATTCTTATCTCAGGTGAAAAAATGTTTTAGTTCAAAACATTTTTAAAAAAAATTAAAATAAACTCCATGGTCGACTCATGTGAGCTTTACTAAAAACAGGACCTCCTCTCCAGATAACAGATCGGGCAGGTGCAGGGG